AACTGCTCCCACTCTCTCATTAAAAGCTTCCTCAGCCGGGGATGTTCTGTCTCCTTCTCCCACCACAAGACCGTTAGACATGACTCTGTCTGGAGCCAGAACCCTCACAGTTTATGGTGGAGCAGCATTGCCGGTTTTCAAACATGACATTTTAACTAGGAGGTTACCTTGGCCACCCACAGTTTTAGCACAAGTAATACGGTGAGAACATTTTATCTCTAAAGTTTGTAGCTGTCCTTTTTTGGTTTTAACTTTGGTTCTGCAAAGTTATACTTTGTAGAGCTCATTTAGTGGTGGCAGATGGCCCGGGATGGATTGTTTGAATAGTTTTAATAAATGCACATGCTCGTCTGTGATAACTTGATTAAACAGGATTTTGTTCTGAAAATGTATTTAAATGAGGCTGCACTTATGCTTGGACCTGTTTTTAATTTGACTACAATATTCATTGGATCATACGAGAAAAAGTTTAAGTGAAAGTCATGAAGTTTTGGTATATAAATGGGCTGCTTAGAAAAAGTGTCTGAAGTAAGTAATTAAACACAAAGTACTTCTTCAGCATATAAGGTTGCCAACAGCTTAATCAAAGCTGTACAAATGTGTACTTTAAGTATATTCCTGTTTATAAATACTTTATTGAAAGGAAATTTGAGAATGATCGTCTACCAGGATTTGAACCCGGGCAACCTGTTTAAAATATGCAAACAAATCCTTCCAAGTGAATGATTTTGAATTATTTCTGTGTGCTGAACACAGAAAGCAGATTTTTTTTTTTTTATGTGATTGCAGAAATATTAGATTCACATCTTTTATTTCATATTTATAAAAATGATTCCAATTTGGAACAGGGGTCGTGCCTTAGTTGTCATGCTAACCAGATGCTGCCGACCATTTAACTTTATCACTAGAAAAAAAATCATTATTACACTTTGATGACAACAATGATGCTTATCCATTTCCACATATTCTGCTTCACTCATAAAAAGCACTCAGTCCTTCATTGACATTGAATGTTGGTATTATTGGATGTGAAGTGTGAATCATCTAATATAGGAATACGATAAATTCTAAAAATATAAAACCAAGAACAGTCTACTAATAGTAGAACAGAACTGTCCATCTCTAAATATGCTTTGAAAAAACTATTCCTTTTGCAAGCTCACTTATTATTAGTATTTATTTACTTGTCTCAGACAAACAGGAATATATTGAAATTTCTCAATTCCAGATAAGAATAATTCGCATTAACATTTTAATTCACTGCTTAGGGGTGTTAAAGTGAGAGCTTTAAAATAAAACCCATCTTCAAATAAACACACACATTTAGAACTGTATACAATATTTATTGACAATGTATTAATTTTCATAGTTTTCATAGTAAAGATGGACATTGACTTTCACATGGTTTATCTTTAAGAAGGGTACAGCTCAGGGTTTCTAGGAATGTTCTCGTGAGTGGCACATACAAGGATTTTTCAAGGTGGAGGGTGTTGAGAGGGTAAGAAGGATTGATGCTGCTTGGTGTGAAGTCCAGGGCAGCAGGAGGCTAAGGCTTCTTCTGTGAGTGTGTGCAAACATACTCTGTCACCAACATGTGTCATTTTAGGCTTTTAGGATGTCGGTCTGTCCTTGCTCTCCAGAGAAAACTACCGTCTGATGACAACCTGGCATTTCCCAAAAACCTTACCTTTTCTGATAGTTAAGAAAAAAAGCCATTTTCAAACCATTTACAACCCAGTACAAGGGACTATGAAAGGATTTCAGAAACGTAAATGTCAGTAAGTCTGCAGAATCCCCTGTGGACAATGTTATCATTCTGTATAGTATAAATGTGAAAATTGCCAAAATTGGATTTACAAGGTTTGCCAAACAACAGTGTGCGCAGTTTTTTGTTTTTTACACAGGAGTATAGAAGTATAAAAATACAGTATATGAAACAAAAAAAGCGCTGTGAAGTACAAACACATATTCAAAGTGTACTTATGAAGCAGACCTTTCTTTCCAGTTGCCGGTGTGCTTTGGAAAAACTCTCTGGCCGACATACACACGCTCACACTCAGACCACGTCATATCACATACAGTATTATTCTGAAAATGTGTAAATATATTTGTATTGGGTAGTTTGAAACGTTCTATGGCTAAGGTGGATTTGGTACCGTAATGACTCATAAAGTATTTCTAGACTTTAGATTCTGCCTATGCTCAAGAAGACACTATTTCTGCTGTAATCTCACTGTATATGGTTTTGTTGGACCTGTTATAAACAGAAAAACCTAATAAATTACAGAGAAAACATGTGAAACAAGTCCAACAAGGTTCCTTTACTCATGTACAATTCTTGGGTTTTAAGTTGTTGTGTTGTTTGTAGTGTGAACTGTGCTGACCTGAGATGGTTGAATTTCGGGCAGATACAAAGGCATCACTCGCCTCTTTATCACTACCCCCAGTGTGTGTGTGTGTGTGTGTGTGCGTGTGTTTGTGAAAAGGTGGTATACATTAGGCTGTATTTAGAAGATCATTGGTACAATATATTGTTATAGTTTTGCTGACACGTTACAGCAAGTAGAAGCTGCAAAAGAATATCAACTACATTCATGAATACGTGTTTACATTTTGGCAAAACCAAAGAAATTTCCTTTGACAAACAACAACGAAGAAAGAAACGTGATCGAGTGAC